CCGAGATCGGAGAGACTGGCTTAGGCATGTCATGTACCGGGTGTTGCAGAGTCGTGTGATGCATGGAACGAGGCTAGCGTAGACCGTGTGGTGTACAGACCGAGTCAGAGATACTGTGAGGCAAAGACAGCTTCTAGCAGGGAACGGGAGAAGCACAGAACGTGTCACAAAGAGCCGGGTGTGGCATAGGCCGGGATCGGAGAGAATGGTTGAGGCAGAGGCAGCGTCTGTCATATGCCATGTGTTGCAGAGGCCGTGAGATGCATGGACCGAGTCAAGCACAGACCGTGTGGTGTACAGACCGATTCAGAAATACTGTGAGGCACAGACTGGTTCAAGCAAAGACCGGGAGAAGAATTTTCGAAATTTTCGTAAAAAATATTGAAGTCGCAATTTTTCAAAAAATTTTAGTTTTGTGCGCGTTTTGGACATTTTGCAGTATTTTTCGAAATTTCGAAAATTTTTAAAAATATCAAAATTTTTGTCGATGTAACCCAGGTTGAAAATTTTCAAAATTTTTCATAATTTTGAAAAAACTCAAAAATGGTTATAAATGGCGTGAAACGCGAAAATAAGTAAATATTTTCGAAATTTTCGAAAAAAAATTAAATTTGGAATTTTTCAAAACTTGTTGGGTTTTGTGGGCCATTTGGACATTTTGCTGCATTTTTTGATTTTTCGAAAATTTTGAAGAATTTTAAATTTTTTTTGCTAAACTCTACCTATCAGAACCGCAACCTTACTCTGAAGCACCCGTTTTCTGCCGGTCTATGGCTGTGCACGAACTGTCTATCTATTACCTGATCTGTGCCGGGGCCGTCTCTGCAAGGACCTTGTTCGACGCACAGTGTGAGGCACAGACCGAGTGAAGAAGAGACCGTGTGAAGCACAGACAGTCATTCAGAGATAGTGTTAGGCACAACCCGGTTGAAGCTGAGACCGGGTGGAACACAGGTGTCAAAAAGAGCCTGGTGAGGCACAGTCCGAGATCGGAGAGAATGGTTGAGTCAGAGTCAGCTTCTATGATATACCAGGTGTTGCAGAGCCGTGTGATGCATGGATCGAGGCAAGCAAAGACCATGTGGTGTACAGACAGATTCAGAGATACTGTGAGGCACAAACAGCTTCTAGCAGGGACCGGGAGAAGCACAGAACGTGCCAAACAAAGCTGGTTGAGGCACAGACCGATATCAGCATAGACTGGTTGAGGCAGAGGCAACGTCTGGCAGATTGCCAGGTTTTGAAGAGCCCGTGTCCGGTATTGACCAGTTGTAATAGGTATTA